AATGGGGATAAAGCCTTAAAAAGATGGTGATAAAATTTTCGTTTCCTGGAAAAGAGCAATAAACAAAATGAATGAAATTGCTACGAGCTGGCATTCCTTCACTTAACCAAAAAGGAAAAGAAAAAATGGAGTTTCTTTTTTGATTCTCTTAAGAAAGCTCATTCTTTTTTGCAATATATATAATTTCACTATCTCCAAATTTATTTCCAAAATGAAAGGTGACGTCAATGGAGCACGCATAATCGATTGTTATGCAGATTAGGTTGATATACCAATTCTTTCCGATGACTGATAAAAATTATTTTCTGTTATTTATTACCAAAGAATGTAAAAAGAATGTACATGCCTTCCGGGAACTGCAAATACTACCATTATAACAGAAAATATGCTGCACGGCATAATGCTTGAAGCAACATGCATTTGGTGGCGTGAAATGGTCATTACAAAAGAAATCAGAAAGAAGAAAAAACAAAGAAGGAAAAAAACAGAAAAATATTTATGATGCTGCCACATATCTAATTATAGATTAACATCAATTTTACAGTGTTATAAAATCAAGTAATTTTTGAGTAAAAGTACAGAGATTATTAATAATTCTTTTTCCAAAAAAAAACTTTTGATTCTGGAAGTTTCATATTGACTTTCACATTTAGAAAAGTCCTAAAATCTATGAAGCAGTAAACCATTACCTCAATAACTTTATTCGCACCCTCACTGTCAGCCTGCATTCGACGTCGACGTAAAAACTCTTTTTTTCTCGCAACTGGATCCTTTTGAGTTGCCGAACTGGGAACTGAACTCACTGACGATGATGGACTCTGCCCAGCAAGCTTCATCTGAAAAACGAAAGTAATCAAGAAACGGGAATGCCCGATCATTTAATGCAGCACATCTTTTGATAATAATGAAAGTGGATGTTAAAGGCTCGAAATGTTAAATAACGTATCTTTCATTTTAATTTACTCATTGTTTGAATTGCTGATAATCAAGCTACCGTCATGCATATTTTCCAAATAATTAAGCTGTCATCAATGTATAAGAAAAAATAAAGCAAAACATCAGTTACATTACAGAAAAATAACAAAAATTAAATCTAAAAAAAATCCTTACCTGATTTGCTAAAGAAAAATCGATATTATAAAAGGCCAACGTCCGGTTTTCTTCGTTTGGTTTGGGTGGCATTACAAGTCCGTCATTACTGTAAGCATAAGACTAGGAAAGTTATCATTAACTTACTGTCGTCATGATAATATGAAATTAGATGAAAAATTATTATCTGCTCATAAACTCAAATGATTTGAATGTCGGTTTAAACGAAACTTTCTAGAGACAATAAGATATTTTACCAATGTGTTTATTTGAAATACGATTTTCTTAAGAATAGGCCATACCTCCTATCTATGTCTTCCCTTTCTTTAATGCCGTCATTGCGGATAAAAGATGTTTAGTATCCCAAAAACAGTTTCGTGAAAAAATAAAGTTTAAAAAATATGCATTCAAGCGTTAATTTGCAAAGGAAAGACAATGCATTATGATATGGTGAATCAAATAAATGTTAAAAAACTAACTTGTGCAAATCGAGCTGTTTTAGGTCTGGCAATAGATGAATCGAGTCTGGCAGGGTTATTAGCTTATTATTGTCTAGTTTTAAACGGTGCAAACGCACACAGCGACTAACACCCTCTGGTATCAATTCCAATTGATTGTATGATAAATATAATACTTGCAACTGAACTAATTTCCCGATACCACTTGGAATACCTAAAAATGTAAATATTAAATTCACCTACCGCAACACTACTTACGTGGGCTGATGAGCTGCTTGTACTTTTCTTCAGAAAAAAAATCATTTCTACTTTTCTATCCAACCAAAAGAAATAACCATCGAAGGTCAGCTGATTGTCGCTAGCATATAACCTTTGCAATTTAACCATTCGTACAATGCTCTCAGGTAAGGCTTTTAACCGATTAGAAGAAACATTCAGTGTTTCCAAGTTTTCCCATGGTGTGTCTTTTGATTCAATTTTTTGAATCTGTAAAGGTTGGAAAATAAAAAAAAGGCCAAAATAATTAAATGATGTATTGACATATCGCATAAATAGAAACTTCTTGACTTAGAAATTGATATCATTACCATCTTCAGGGTCGTACAGCTATTTAGTCCAATGCATCTCTGCATGACCGCAAGCTCTGCATGACCTCTTTTGATCTTCCAAATAAGCCATAGAATATCATTCATTTAACCTTTACTTATGCTTAAGTTGTGAGTTATTCAAAACGGATTTTACACACCGAAATAATGCCTAACCAATTGCCGTATATTTCTTTAGTTGAAAATTGTTCAGCAATTGTAATGGAAGGTAAAATTAAAATACCTGATTGTGACTGATATCAAGCTTTCGTAGTTTCTTCAATTTATACAAGCAATCTGGCACTTCCGGTAAATTGTTATGAGAAAAATCAACATCCTAAAAAATATTAACAGACTTTGATAAAGATAAAATAAAAAATTCAATGATAAAGATAAGAGCAAATCCATGATACTAGCCGTACATCCATTTTGTAAAGTTACGGGTGGCACAAATACCTGCAAGCTATCCAAATCGTCCAACGTAGGAGGGATATTTTCCAGAGTACGCGAAGTATTGCTCATATGTAATACTCGTAAAGCTTTCATGCTGAAAGTTCATATTCAGTTATTAAGTTCTAATATTCATAATTTAAATGTTTCTCATTGATACTTAACAAAATAGTCAAATTACTGCATATGCAGATTGTAACTTGATCAAAAATTTTTGATCGGCGCTATGGATCTTCATTAGCAAACAGAGTACTCAAGTAAAATGTATTAAAAAGATGACAATTTGAATAGCACTCTAGAAATGCTTAAACAATTTTTAGCAAAAAATAAATAGAGAAAGAAAATACCTGGGAAGCTGTTTTAACTGAAAATGATGTAATGGATTATTAGACAGTCGGAGGACTTGTAATGTCGTCAATCTGCGTATTTGAGGAGGAAGCATTTCCAGCTTGTTATTATTGAGATTCAGATATAAAAGATCGATCAGATTCGAAAATACCTAGGAATATAAAAATGTAAAATAGAAGAGAATGCATCATGCCTTTAACAGTTTTATTCTAGCTCAAATAAAATATTCCTTTACTTTCATTTTTTATTTATCATATAAGGAACCAAAGCAGTTTCATTCTGAACAAAATAACAAAAAAAAACACTCAAAGCAAAACACTTACTGCATTTGGTATATTTTCGATGTTATTGTGGCTTAAATTCAGTACAATAGCACATTTTGCGTACTCCAAATTTGGTGGTACTTCACGAAGAGTATTGTGACTGAAGTCTATTATTGTTAAATCCTTCATTCGAAATATATCAGTAGGGATACCTGATGTTTTGATCTGAAAACAAGTATTATACTTTTGTCCAACTTTATTTGAATATTATACTGTTAATATTATAAATATAGCCCCAATTCAGTTCAATGATACATAAACAAAAAGCAGCAACCGAATCCCTAACTCCTTCCCCGTTCTGTGTTTCATTTTTCTCACTTGATTATGCCGTACGATAACGGAACGTAAGCGTGGTAAGTCGGAAAGTTCTCCATGAACACTTGATAATGTATTACATGTCATTTGCAGATGCTCGAGGTTTGTTAATCGTGATAATTCATCTGGTACCTGTAAACAACTCCCTTCATCTACAACAAAAACTATGAATATTCAAAAACACAATTATTTATATTTTTTTATCAAATTAAACTATGGCAATGTTAAAGAAAATGTACCCTTTCCAAGCAAGCATGGTTCAACTTTAGCCATGTCATTTGCGTCATCTGTTCAACTTCTACCGGAAAGCGATCACCCTAAAGAATGGAAAAGTACACACAAATTATATCTTTAGCAAATAACAATTAATCAATGACAACCAATAATTTACAACATTTATTACTGTTTTAAAAATATAAAATTTTGGAATATGCAAAAAACATTAAATTGTAATGAACCTTATGTCAGCTAGAATGTTTATCCCTCTGCACTTTTTAAGTAAATAAACATCCTTCCACAGTTGAAAAAGCGCAGAAAAAAAAGTGAATTACAAATCATGTTCTTGCGTATTTTTATTAAATTAAATCTAAATATTCATGATATCATTCTTCACAAAACTTGATAAGAAAAAAAAACAAACCGAAAAATCATTGTATGAGAAATCGATTCCTTTTACAAATGGCAATACACCTGTAGACATTTCCGCCTATTTTCCACTTTTTTCGTTTATATATAAAGTGTAAATTACATCAGCTATTTTCGACTTAAATAAATACTGATAACAATTAATCGTCGTTATGCATATACCTGTAAATAATATGAAATGTAATTTTTCAACTTTTTTTTTCGCTGATACATACATAAACGTTGTATAAAAATCTGTAAATTTGGCGTAAAGCTATTTACATGTGACTTGTTATCATACGTATGACTAAATATTTAAATTAAACTTAGACCACTCAATATATGTTTATATGATTATTCACGATTTTTGCATAATTACATGATCACGATCATGATTGCACGATTATTTTCACAGGACTATAGGATTATTACTTATCTTAATGTATATTACAAATATATTAAAGTAGGAATAATTGTATAATATTTCAAATATGAAGTGCAGTAGACAAAGAGGTCGTACTGTCAACAATAAACATTCCGTTTAATCTATTCATTAATTAATCATTTTACGACAATCGAACATTATTCATTATATTTTCACCTACAACTTTGTAAAACGCAAGATAAAACTGTATTGCACCTAATCGTATCATATAGCACCATAAAAAAACCACACGAAAAAATCAATAATAGAAAAAAAGAAATTAATAACAGTAGGTCAAAGGTAACACAAATACGTAGTATTGTTGTACCCTTCACCCTTTCTTACCAGAATATCACAACAGCAGAATTTCCCAATCCTTTTATTTCTCTTTATCCAATTCAACCTCTTTCACTACTCGATGTTCCGTAATATCGGTTACCGGAAGGATGAATAACAATGCACTTATCCTTCGTGACGTCATAAATGTGTAAATTAGATCGAAAGATTTTATGACTTTTCTCTAGCACATTCGAAATTATCGTAAAGAAGCAATGCTTTGCTTAATATTAAATGCAAATTAAAATTTCTAAATGAACCATTTATGGAAATTATCAATTCATTAGCCACTAAGCATTTTACAATACCAAATGTTATTCAATAGATTTACATTTCAACGCACAGCTTTTGATATCATACGGTAATATTTAAAGCGTATTTGCATATTTCCACAAATCAAATTTAATTCACTCATTTCTATTGTGATGAAATGACTAGTGATAAAAATCACAAAATATTTACGCAATGCAGAGTGTAATTTACTGATAATATATTTGTCAAATTCATCGATAATAAATAGTCTATTCTAAGATATCATTAATACATTAATAATTTATTAACAACATTGAAAATTCAGCAAAAATATAAGGAAGAATTTGCTTTGTATATATACATGTGTGTGCATAACTCTTTGAAAATAGCTTTAGCAAAAATTTGTTAATTAATTTGATGAACCAACCAATTAGTCATACGAGTTGAAGTCGGTAATGCAAGCTTACAACACATCTGTGCAAGCTTTGTTAATCAATCCATCAGTTGTTTAAAAACAATTTTTAAAATTATCCCTTTCTATATATCTTCAGCTAGTTTTGAATTTTGCTTAGTTAGCCATGAGATATAATTGAAATATCATTAAATTTAATCTTTTGCAAAATTTGTTTTTTCGCTTTGGAAAAAATGGGAAAAGAATTTTTTTTCTTCCATAATTTTCGCATTTTTCGCACATATCAATAATCATTTTTTATTTCCTTTTCTTATTCGATTTATTCGATTGGAGAAAAAACTATAACATAGATATAGTAAAACATTAAATTGTTGATAACATAATGAATCATTAGTAAAACTAATTAAGTGATAATGATAATATCGCAGAAATATCGCATGAGCATCACTCCATGTCTATAATTTTAGTGTTCAAAAAATTTCCCAAAAATAGTAGCGTTTATTTGAATATCTTGGAAGAAATTCATACTACAAACCATTTTAATCCATCATTGATTAATGAAGTTGTTGATTGATAAATAAACATTACATTTTATAAACAAATTCAAATTATAAATTATTCCATAAATTGAATCGAAATTATTCAAATCAATGAGAACACATTTTTTTCCGATCGAATTCGATTATTTAAAACAAAAAACAGAAAAAATGAGATAGCATTGGCTTGAAAGTGTATCATTAATATTGAAAGTAATAGAAAAAAGAACGATTTTAAAAATATTTGAAACGGGGAAATTGTAATTTGAAAAGTAATTTTTAAGCTAATTTCCTATTTCAAATTCATAAACAAATACAGAGAGATGAATGAAAAAGCATCAGTTTTACACTGCGTATGTTCAAGAAGCAACATAGTGCATTCGAGACTGGAGATGACAGAAAACAATTGTTCAAATATCATTGATGTAATAAAGCAAACAAACAAGTTTATATAAGTTACTCATGAAGAAAAATTGAAAGAATAAAATGCAATTTTAGTAATTTTTGAAAAAATGACATTATCTCCGTTTTTTTAAATGAAGGAGTTATTGTACCAAGTAGAAGTTATTGTGCAAACTTATGCCAAAAGAATAAATTAGCTGATCAATTAATAACATTTCAAATAACATGCTATTTATATATTAAAACTATTTCTAAAAAATGAATTTAAAAAATTTTTCAAGAAGGAATTATGGGAACAAAAAATTATCTAAAGTATATATTTGAAATATATAAAACGAAAAAAAGCAAAAATAACAAAAAAATGCGTTTTTAATAAAAGGCGAAATTTGTTCTGTTCAAGACAGTTTTGCTATTTTCATTTTTCATCAATTATTTCATCATTCAATTCATCCATCGTTGATAATTTTTTCTTTTGGACAAATCTTTTTGCGTCCATCAGCAATGATTTATAAACATTGTTTATATCTTTTTTTATTTTATTTTAAAATGATTGTATTATAATAATAATTTCTTTTATTTGCAAAACGTGTCCTTCTTAAATGTTTAATTATAATTTGATAGTGGTACTTTTATATTTGCACGGCATTATTTAATATCTATAATTATTATTTAAGAAATAATATAGTTGTCATCCATATAATATTAATTAAATTAGAACAACCTCTAAATATTTCTTCAAATTTTTGTTGGGGATATAATTAAGCATGCCAAATAATGCAGAAGAAATGATTCAGACAATTTTGTTCGTGATAAATTGTTTTGCACGGATTAGTAACAGATTATAAATTGAATTTAATGGCAAATTAAATTGCGTAAATTTTGAAAATTTTAAATTTTTTAGAAATTATTTATGAGGAATAATAAGAAAAACAAATTTGGAAGTATTTATAAGGAATAATCACAGAAATAATAATCAGGTTTTCGCTATTTTATTTGAACTGTTTCGTATTATTTTACAATTTCATAGCGTAGTATTAATAAATGAATAACTTGAAATAATTTGGATCAATATTATATCACTCGGGATATCTCGATTGAACTAATTCATGGTACGAATTGCATTCAAATTTTTTGTTATCATCAGTAAAGGCACACAAATTAACTTTAAAGTTAATTTAAGTATTTTTGCATCTGATCATCCAATGTCAGTAACGTTTAATTAAGTCTACTAAATGATTTGCGTTAAAAAGTCCTTCTTAAAGGTTTAAGTAAAAGGAATGAAATGAAATGAAGAGAGAAAGAAAGGAAGAGTTAAATGAAGAGGAAAATGATTACGTTACTATCAGTATTATTAGCATAGACCAAAAATTAAGCAGATTTAAAAGCTACTAAAATACTTTTTCTGTATAATTATTTCTCATTCAATAGAAAAATACGATTAATTGTTGAGATTGAAAATTCTGAAGTTTCATTCATTGATTAAAATTGAAATTAATTAGCCCATTTATGAATCATCTGATGAACAGAAATTTCAGAAAGGAATGATGGAATTCAGCTTTTCTCTCCCAAGATCAATGATATTCTATTACAGTGAGTACTGGTAATTTCGAAATTTCAACTAAGAAAAATTTTCGCAATTTAACAACAACTGGAACAAAAAATTTCCTATTTTTCTTTCGTTAAACATCAAATTTTTCAAGGAAGATAAGTTTAATTTACTTCACAGAGATATGTGTTCATTCTTCACTGATTGTTCTACGACTGATAAATTATTTCCAGGTAAAAAAGGAAGAGAAAATTTACCGATTTTTTTTGCAATTAGAATGCAGCATATGTGAAGCTCACATGGAGTAATCAAGTTTTAAGAATTTCAAAATGCTAAAGCATATTTTAGGCATTAAATTAAATAATTGTAATGTCATCATACGTTAGATTAATTAATATGAAGAAAATAAGTATACAATTCTTTTATAGAAAAGTGAATGGAAAAAAAAGTTGAATTAATAGATATGAAAAGTGAAGCAATTCGAGTCTGATATTTCTCGTACAATTCGATATGAGGGGGATCACGTGATAATGATTGAATTGTTCGAAACGCTAAGTCACACTTCAACCAAACATCTTTCATTTTGTTAATATTTCTTGTTCAACATATTTTATATGTATTACTAAACTACGAAATGTATTGTTTGTTAATTTTTCATTATTAGTTTAATAAAAGATTTGAAATTTTCACAAAAATTTTACTGCATAATGACACAAAGAAATGAGAATACAAAGTAAACAAGCATATAATAATAAGTATGTTTTTTTCGAATATAAATATTGTTAATTATTCTCGAAAAACTCAGCAAAAAAAAGGAGAGAAAAAAAAGGTAAATTATTTCTTCAAATGATGAGCGTATATCAGTTGATCTGCAACGATTGTCAGGAATTTAATCAACCAATTCAGTCAAACAATCAATCAGTCAATCTATTAACTCATCGAAATAGTAAATCAATCAATCGGACATTGATATAACGATGACATACGACTGATAACAGTGTTGCTGACTGCAATTTACCGAATGATTTAAGCATTGATCCGATTTATTCAATCGATATCGAACATGCATGCATTGCTTGATATATTTTTACCGTTCAAAATAAACTTCTTTCTACTGACTCAGCTATTCGTTCACTTAGCTGGCAACTAAATGCAAATTTCATGAACAATCTGTCGAATATCATATATGAATGAATGAGCGTAGAAAGCATGCATAATTAATTAAAGGTAAATTAGCGTCTATGAGCTTTCTAATATCTCGTAGGATGTATAGTTGCATAGTGCATAAGGTTATTTTTGATGGGCCGAGATGGTCAGGTCGTGAATGCCATAATGGATAGGCAGATGTTCTCGGGTGTGGTATTGGGTAGCGGGGCTGCGAAGTTGGGGGTTAATTTTTTAGCAACTTTATTAGGAAACTGAAATGCTAATTTTGGGTTTGTTGGGAAAGTGAGGTTTTTAAACAAGTGTGTTGCTTACTTCCTAGTAGGTTAACTTAGCAGATTACTGGAGGACTGAGAAGCCTACCAGGCAGACAAGGGGGAGTTGAGGTGCCAATGTAGCGTTGTATATAGTTGCGAAACAGTAAACCGTGTTAGATTTGTTGTGTTTGATATGTGCTTTTGCAAATGTAGAAACATACAGATCAGCAGTTGTATTAGTAATATTTTCACCACTTGAGTTTCACCACTTGAGACAGATTATCCGAGTTATTGAAGTGAAACCATTTGCGACAATCAGCGTGTTTCCTTGTATAACTCTCATTTGCACTCTGTAATCATCGATTACTCCTATTCCTTTCATATTAAAGGGACTCTCTTCATGTTGAATGTTGAGCTTAAATGAACCATTTTCATTTTAGATAGCAGTATGAGTCGACGTGGTGGCTATCAAAAATGGGATGCTAAGAAAATGACAATGAAAAAACTTATTTATTATGACAGCGACTTAGCACCGAGGTTTGATGATGATGACGATGATGGAAAAGTGAGTTTGTACTTATGGAAATTACCAAAAATTTTGTCAACCATAAGATGATCTGATGGTTTGAGATTTAGTGCTATGAGTCTTCTTTCAAGTTACCTTTGCATATTCAAAAAAAAAAAGACATGAACTTAATCCACACTTACCTATATACTATTGTTAAGTAATGGGGCAATCTAAGTGATTGTATTATTACTAATCATATCAATGGTAGTTGTTTATGAGAGTAGTACTATTACTTAAACTCATTTGGTGTTTTAATTGAAACTGTTGACACAATCTTTTTCGGCAGTTCATTTTGCTATGTATGTCTGGATGATTAGATGCTAAAATACTTACTGTATATTCACCGTTGAACAGTGACTAAAATTGCTTACAAAAACATAAGCTTTGAATAGAAAGGTTCGGTGTTCATTTGGATTTTCAAACATGTTTAGAAATTTTCATGCGATTTTATTTTTTATTGAGGAATTCGATCCACGTCTGTTCAGAGTGCAAGGACGAAGCATTGGTAATGCGTATGGACGCGGTGGAAGAGGAAAAGGTACGATTATAAACCATTCATAAGTATTCTTAACTAAGAATTTTTCTAGCACTTTCTTAATTAAGGATTTCTAGCACTTTTAAAATTGGTGAAATAATTCTGCTGGATTAGAACTTTGCCTGGTTATTGCTGTGGGTGTTTCCAGGAAATGGAAAAGATCGTATGTCGTTAAAAATTCATCTTGATAATAGACGTGATAGGCAGCTGCAACGTGGTGTTGGTGGTAGCGCGACTACTACTGCAGTCGTTATGAATCAAATTAAGGTGTGTTTTTAATAGCTTGTGTTTTAAAATCTTAAAATTAGGAAATTAGTCGACATTTCGAATGATTGTTTCAGGTTGTAAAAGGAGCTACAATTGGGAAGGATTTTATTATGCGATCAATCGGACAATATATTGATGACGTAAAGCCTTTGCTGTTTAGAGTGGATCGAGGCGACATAACATTTTTCATTGAAGATGACGACGTAAATTAATTTATTTACTGATAATTTCTTTTCTAAGTTAGATTTTATTGACTCATGTCTTTGCCGTCTATTTGATATTTCAACTAAGATCTAAGCTTGAAGTCATCTGAGATAGTAGTACAACATAACAAGAGTTTATAAACATCAGATCTGAACTTTTTTCAGTTTATCGCGGTATTGCACTTTACTGCTACGTAAAGCTTTGATCCATGTTTTTTGATTTGTCTTTTGATTATCGAACTATACATCTTGGAAGGATTCAGAGACCTCGATGGGACTGATGCATGAAAATCTTTATTTTATCTTAAGATTTTCATTTGTATTATTTAATATTATTCAGACAGCTGCGGCAATTCATGCAATATCAAGGCGTGTCCGAGATCCGAATACAAATGCGCCAATTACTTTTCTGTTATCACGTGTATCAGCCGGTTTTGCTACAATATCAATGACTGAAAGAGAACTGATTGCGGTTTCTGTTAAATTTTCTATTAAATCACTAATATTGATGGGAATAATAATTTATATAAAAAAAATAGGCATAATTATTCGTAGGTTCCATGATTTCCCGTCTTTGATTCTGGCTCTTATTAAAATCTCAGCTGTTTTCAATTAATTTTTGATGGTCTTGGGAAAAAAACTGCAATAATGTACGTCTTTAAGGAGTGCTTGAAGAAACGTTATAATGTGGAAACACGTGCTCTTGACTTGAGTGAGTTCGGCTTAGATGAATGTAAGTTTGACATTCCTCTTTCACCTGATGACTTCTGAAAAAGCAGCACATAGTGAATTATCGTCAGGTGGATTTCATTCATGAGTTAACGATTTTAAAGTGTATTTGGTGTTACTGTCCAAATTCTTGAATAAGTGTGTATGACTTTGGATTTTTAATTTCTCTAGCGATTTATTTGCTTTTTGCTTTGATCGAATCAATAATATAAATTCTTCAGTACGAGAGGAATTCGATGGGAATAAAAGTATGGTAAATAATTGGAGAAGTGTTTTTCAGGAACTGTTGAGAAACCGTTGGATGAAAAACCCATTCGTTTGTCTGAAATTTCAGAAAACGATGACTCAAAAGTTTATTATTTTTAAATGAATTCATTATTACAAATTTGAATGTTTCAGTGTTCCGCTCGAGAAGTTTGCATCTTTCTTTAACTCGTAATAATATTATGATGGCAGTTGTTGATTTGATCGATCAACATTATGGAGGTGTCATAGCTTTAAGCATGAAGGTGGGTGTTTGTATAGTGAATAGTTTAATCATAAAGGTATCAATGATAGATCTGCCTAAAATCCAACTTGAATGGATACCGGTCGAAATGTAACAAGGATGAGTTAGAATGGTTCCAAAATGTAACAATCATAGGATCATATTTTGAAAGATCTAGGAGATGGAGATCATGTAAGAGAAAGAGAGGTAGATGGGATTCGAACTGGTTTTTTGTTTCATCAAAATAAGGAAAGTTTTGCCTGCTCTACAGGTTCCGTTCTGTTTACAGGGAAACCGTCTTCGCTTCTTAGATTTCTTTGCATGTCTTCTTTATCGTATCAAAAATGTAAAAACATTGGATTTGTCAGCTAATCAGGTACATAATTCTTGGTTTATCTTGATTTCTTGATTTTGGTTTTTTTTTTTTTGAAGAACTGATAAAAAATCAGTAGCGAATGGTTCGAACATTTGAGTCGTAGTTGGTTGTCAGTGACAGTTTTCCTAAATATTCGATATGCAATTACGCCAAGAATGAAATTAGTGTTTGTATTAATAAAGAATTATTCCACATTGATTTAGATTGACAAGGAATCGGAATTGGAGAAACTGAAAGGATGGCCGGTCGAGACATTATTTTTTGAAAACAATCCTTTATGTGGTTCATATTCGTCAGCAGAAACTTATTTAAGGTTATTGATTGCGTGTCCTTAGTTTTGTTCTTAACAATGCTTCAGTCGAACGCATGTACGATGATTAACATGTTGAACTTCGATGAAATAAGAATTGGTTCACTTTTCAAAATTTATTCTTGAGAAATTTTCTCCCTCTCATGTTTTATTTCATATGTGGTGAATGGACATTTATGTGTACATATGCATGCATTATATAATATAAGAATGTTCTCTCGATTACAGCGCTGTTCATCGCGTCTTCCCGAAGGTGACCATGCTGGTAAATCTTTTTGTTTGCAATTCTTTTTTGTAGAAATGTTTTATGTACTGATTAGAGTTGTTGCCTGATTCTGAATATTTTGAAATTGAATTACTGTGTTGCATGTGATATGTTTTTGTTCAAGGAAAATGTAGTATAGATGATTACAAAATAATTATTCAGAATGGAATTTCTATTAGTGTAAGACGGACCAATTGCTTTTTTGATTTATTTTGAATATTTTCAGGATGGTATTCCGGTCCAGCCGTCTGCTTCTTGTTCAGTACCAGATTTAGATGAAAATGCCAAGTTACCGCCATTTAAGGTGAGCATTTTATTTTCCTAGGATTTTCTGCACCGGAATGATTAAGTATATGACAATTGTGAAATAGTTATATAATCTTGGAAAGTTGAAAAAAAGCTATTGGCTTTTTTGCTCTGATAAAATATGTTGTTTGATTTTCTTGATTAGTAATTGATTTGTAAAAGTGCATGATCAATTCTTACAATTTTTGTTGATTCCAGCCAAGCTTTTATGGCACCGATGATCATCGCGCTCTTATCGAAGCATTCATTGTCGAGTTTATGGCAGCATATGATGACCCGGATGTTAACAACAGGAAAAATTTGATTAATGCTTATGATGAAAATGTTAGTTTTCTTTTGCATGATTTATAGTTTTTCAACATGCGACCTATTTCATATCGGGACCAAAACACATTGCTGAAAATTTGATGTTTTCCCATATCATTTTTTTAAGGATTTGAATATTATCGCATTATTAAATGATGTAAAGTGCTCATAAATTTTCTTATGGAGTGAGCGGTTTATTACTTTCTAATTTTCAGGCTACATTTACGGTATGCGCGGAAAATTTGACAGATGCAAATGAAAGAAAGCCTTATTTTAACCCAAGGTAATATCATATCTTCGTGCTATACTCTTATTTTATCTGATAATCGTGTTTACCATCAAATTCTTTGACATTGACGGTAGCTTAGACTATCAGCTTTTAATTTTAATGATTAATGAAGCTTTCAGGATCTAGTATGCTGTTGTACATTACCAGATGCAGAAATTTCTTTTGTACTTATTATGATTGAAGAATGAAAATTCAGGGTGCAAATCATTTATTTATAGAAGAATGACGAAAACAAACATTAGTATTAAATTTTATTATAGTATATATAGTACGTATCGTAAAACATCACACAATGTCAAGTGTATGGAAAGATGGGAACGTTTTCGGGAAAAAGTAATATATAAAGGAGCTATGGATATTATTGTTGCTCTACGAAAACTTCCAGTAACCAAACATTTGATGGATACATTTTTGGTTGATGTTTCTTTAATAACTGTAAGTTTAGCGATTTTCTATCGTAGTCAAAGTAGTCTTGAAATAGGCGTGGGAACTAGTGAGTGTCTTAAGATAATCTTACCGACTATATAATATCAACTACCATCTGATAATAATATTAGCTTGATAGAGCTTATTAGAAGGAAATCATTTAAAATTCCTTTCTGGAGCTCAGCTTTTTATTGGATTCATTTAATTTAGGATGTTTTACTCTCATTTTTATCATTGACCTAAGATGTAATTTAAAATCTAGATTTTCTTGTTCGCTAATCTGTTTGCATTTTTTCAAGTTAGCAATTTCTAGGATAAGCATATGTGTTTCGCTGTGGAAGGTTTCTTTCGCGATGGTTTGGAGAAAGTTGGTGATGACGACGAACTCAGATTTTTTTGTCGTAATTTTGTTGTTGTGAATAAAGGTGGTGGGTAAGTTTTCATCGTTTTTTGTAGATATTGATGTCTTTTGACATTAATAGTGCGAGCATAATGAAAAGATATTGATAAGTTATCGGTTAGAAGAAAAAGAATTGTACTTGGAGTGGTGTGTAGCTGTTGCAAAATTTTTTGAAGGACATTGTCATTAGGCTCACGGTTTTCTGTTTGACTCCCAAACTGCTTCATTTCAGAACTTCATAATTCTTTAATTTTTTTTTGCTATTAGTCAAATATTCTGTCTTCAGAAAAATAGCGGTTGTCAACGATATGTTATTTGTCAGTGGAGTGTTTATGGAACGAATACAGCGCTACAAGTCGATGATTACGAATGCCTTAAAGGTTTGATTTTTTTATTTAACTGAATTGTGTACTTAATATCTTTCATTGGTTTTGCAGAAAATAAATAGGTGACTTTTCCGTGCATCACTGACCGAAAATTATTATAACGAAATTGTTTTCACATAAACACTTTTAGATACCTCCAGATACCGCAGTTGCAACAACGGATGCAATGGGTGGAATGTCTATAGCAGATAGTACTCAGAGTCTTGTTGCATCAATTCCTGAACAACAGGGACCGACACTGGCGGAGCGTGCTGCGGCAGGTGATGAGCAATTACAACGACAAATGGTTGAAGCATTTTGCCAGGAAAGTCGAATGAAACCAGAGTGGTCAAAGAAATGCTTGATTGATCAAAATTGGAATTACGAGGTTTGTTTTTTCTTTTGATTTTAAAATTAAAAAAATGTTACTGAAAATTGCATATCAGGAAAATCCAGCACTCTTTTTTAAGAAGATTCATCGTTTTTACTTTCTCATTATTCATGTTTATCTGCCCCCTAATTAGATTACCAATGATTTGTTTATTGGCATGATTTGATATTTCAGGCTGCGGGGCAAGCATTTCTGGCTGTACGTGATAGGATTCCAGCTGAAGCTTTTCAGTAATGGTTGTATAAAAGCTTTATTCTGGAAAATTTCTAATCATAGTTTTTAGGTATTTCGAAGTGGGTATTTTGATGTTTCACGCGAGTTGTTGCTATATATATAGTGAGTTCAGTAATGAAGTGAATTATTTTTTCATTAGTAATATCTCGTTTTTCTGTAGGGTTTTTTTATTTAACTGTACGGCAGTATTCAATCTTCCACTTTTGGAATTTAAGCTATTCTATATATAAGTGTATGATATTGCAAAAAAATGTTAATCGCTGCGAATTTCTGGGATAGGTACTGAGCTATAATATACCAGGTATTTATTACACACTCTGTTTACATTGTTGTTGTATTCCTACTTATTCTGCTTGTGATATAAATTTCTGTTAAGAGAGTCTTTTTGGCTTAATTAAAGTATGCACTTGCCAATTACTCTAGTAGAAAGTAATAAATTATTGAGCGATTATCTACTTCATTTAATTTTATAAGAGACTTGATGTTTAGTATTCTCAGTTATTTTAAGTTCCATATCGTCTTAGATTCTGTGAATTTTCAATATTTTTGAATTTTAATGATAGTTTGATCTATGATCAATTATTATGTTTGTTGAGAAATTGTACTCCTCAAGTATGCACTTTTAATTCTTAATCTTTCACGGGCTAATGTATTTTTCTTATTCAATTTTCATAATTGTAGCATCGCCATCTAATATTGTCTGGGAAATATTGTCATTGTTTTGTTTTATCTATTTTTTTTGCAACTGAGGTTAGAAAGAACAAAGTTGGAAGGAACTGTTATGTTTTACCGTGGCATTAACTCAGGTTATGTATCATGACCAAATAGGAAAGCAATTATTTCTTGTTTCGTAAAAGCCGGAAAGTTGGATTTAGTAGCAGTACCATGCGATTTTTAACTTTCACAATGATAATGTCCCATAAAAAATTCTTGATGATGTTTTGGGACGTAATTCATTTCTTAAGAGAAAAGGAGTCATTGGGCGGATATGCCAGCTCCTTATTATTGCTTTTGTTAGGAAGAGAGAGAGGTTCAAACATCTCTCAGTTTTAACTTTACATTTTCCTCTCGCTGTTACTGCTTCCTTTTCCATTACTTATCGGTTCTCTTATTATTTACGTAGCAAGAAATTTTTTGTCACGGTATATATTTGAGTTTTTGGCTTGGTAATCAACTGTTTTTTCTTTTTGACTTTATTCTTTTTTTACCTCAGTAACCGTTTTATTTTTTTTAATACTGATTTCTTCATGTGTTTTCATATTTTTTGATAAATTTATGAAATTACAATACGCGTTGTCTTTTTTACAAACTACGTTTATAATCTGAAACCAGTAGGTTTTTCTCTAATTTTTTTTGGTAAGCTTACGAATTAACTTTTTTTTTTAAATAATGGAAGTTAGGAAAGGATATGGCTTAGTGTACTTCAATAATTTGATTATGATATTACCGATCAGAAGTATTCCCTAACACTGGAATCAATTATTGGAATATGTTAGCTGACAAAGTTTTTTGAAAAATTGCTGGCAAATATGAAGGAGCTGAATGGGGAAGAAATGTGATTATAGCGATGCTTCAGTTTGTATATTCGGGGACATTTTGAATTATACATAGACAAAAACCAGTTATTTATTGCAAATTTTAAATTGGCTGGTATTATTTGACAACTTTGATTATTATTCATTTAAAATGACAAGAAAAATTCATACTCTTTTGGGATAACTTATTACCTACAGTTACTCAAAATTTGAACTTTGATATGATAATTATGTGACGCAGTTTTCGTACAAGAAAGCAGTTTAATGTATGAAATATTAGGAAAATTTTGAAATAAGCTAATCACATGTTATAAAATATTTGATGTCATTTACTCAGTAACATTTTGCCGTTTCTGACAGGGCATCAAATATTTTTTGTATTTCTCATCAGTTTTGTGTCAATATATTGATTACTATATCAAAAGTATTTTTTTTTAACTTTGCTTTTTTTCAGTTTCTAATGAAAATCATTTCAGTTCTTTCCTTTCATATTACAGATTGTATTATTAAAGAATTTTTTAATTTTATCATTTTTCCTTTTCCATGTTTATTTTCAAAAAAAAGTTTATTGCGGATAAAATCAGACAATATTGTTTTCAAATTTTAGTAGTTTACTGAAAGAGAATTTATGCCGTCGAATTCGTCACCGGAAACACCGGGTGGCTCACGTGAGTCGAAAAGTAGTCCCGATTCAACAGATCGTAAGAAAGCAACTCATTTAAGATGTGAGCGACAACGTCGAGAAGCTATTAATGTTCGTTGATTTTAGTAATCAAACGAAACTAATTGAGATATGTTTGAGTTCTGAACGCTAATGATCAACAAAATGCTTATTTTGTCATAAGCTATTTTTAAATGTTTTTTAACTCAATTTTACATTAGTTAAATTCGAAATATAGAGGTTTTTTTGGTGAAAAATGCATTCTTCTATGCCATTGTGATTACTACCGTACGATCATCTGTGACATCATCGATTGTGAATTTTTTGATAAAATACTGATTCCCAACTGCTTGCTCAGAACCGAAAGTTCAGAAAGCGTTCTATTCAAATTTATAAGACATTAATATAATTCAGCCATTTTCAATTAGAAGTGTAAACAGAGTGAAAAAAGTTTTATTATGAAATTATGCTCTCCGAATATTCGTTGTGGAAAATTAATATGAGATATATGATTTCATCGAATTTTTTACATTAAATTCTTCAAATTTTTAATGATTTAGATTGGATATCAGGAATTGAAAGAGTTGCTGCCAGCATCATTTTCACCCATTGGATGTAAAACAACCAATGCAGCAATTTTATTTCGTGCAGCTGATTATTTAAACCAGTTAAAAAAGGAAGAACGAGATCTGAATGAAACAGTATCTCAGCTAACTGCACAGGTCCATAGCCTGTCATAATTTCTCTTTCATTTACTCATTTTGTAATTGCTCATACTTCTGCATTTCTTTCTGAAGTTTTGATACTGCCTATTTAGGTATCAGCACTTGAACTTATCGCCAAGCAATATGAAAATATGGCAGTAGGCAGTTGTACATCCACCAGATCTTCGATTCACTGTCAAATTGTATTTTTTTTTTTGTTTTAAATTATCAAAGATTAAATTTAGACTAATTTTTTATTGTTTCAAGTTATTGGTTTTAATTACTTTTTTCAAACAAAATTTGTAGTCTAAACATCTGTGCTTTATAGTGACATGTCAGATGAAATAGAAGAATTATTTAATAGAGTAAGGCATGAGGAATCACTTTGTTTCGACTTTTATCATTTTTAGAACACGTTATGTTTCAAACAATGATCACCGTAATTTTATACATTACAGTCCTAAATTTTGGATTCACTTTTGTCTTGTGACCATTTTCAGCTGCAAGCTTTTCTCGATTCATGCTTTGCTTCGTTCCGCGGACAAGTGAATGTTTCCAGCTTGCAATCCGTAATAGAGACATTGCTACCTTGGGTGGAAGTCTTGGACTATGATGTTAGTTTCCGTATTTTGAGTTTCAGCTATGATATCACTACCTTCTATAGAGATACACTGATTCTTTTGCAGAAAATCTCTCGGGATACGATAGATGCTATATATAAATGTTGAAGATGGATCGTTCAGTGCTTTTAATGTTCATTTTGCTAAAGAAAATTGTAATAGGTATTGGTATATTGTGTTACAATAATTCACTTTCTGTATTTTTTATATTGACTTGTCTTACATATTAGTTTGTCATGCTAGCAGACTTTATATTAAAATTTATAGAAAATTGTTATATCTTAGATTATTATTAGTTTTATTGTTGTTTGATGAGCAACATTTTTTTAGTTTTTTTAGTATTTTTTACGAAAAATTTTGTCCGAATTGATAGGGCAATTGGGAGTATTTGATCATTCGATGCATTTTACACAGTTCTCCTCGCAAATGATTATACCTATCCCGAAGAGATTCACAATGCTAATTATCAAATTCTCTCCATTCTATTTGTTCGACGATTTATGAAAGACATATGGGGATGTTTTCTTTTTATACTCTTGACTTACTTTATTGATTGAATCAACATTTTATCATGCTTCTTCCTTAAATTGTGTTTTAATTTCTTTTTTTTTCAAGTTGTAAAAAAAGATTCATTTTTGCGATCGAAATTATCGATGCGAATCATTTTTTTACATTTTTATTGTAACATTTAGAACCCTCAATATGTACTCTTATCTTTTGATCTTTTTTTTATTGGTATGAGAATTTGGATGGAATTGGCTGAATTCTTTCGCATGGGTAAAATCATATTTTGGCATATATCGATATGTTGCACACTTAATGTTCGTACTCTTCACATGCCATGGAGTTGGATTTTCATTTTTCTTTTTTGAGATGAGAAATTTCCAGTAAATAAGAGTAAAAACTAAAATATAAATGAAATAGTGTGAAAAGTAAAGGAATTGATGAAATGATAATAGTTGACTAATTAGATGAAATAAATTACTGAATTTAAAGTTAAATTCCATTTTGATGGCATTTCATGAAAGAAATAGGCATTTTGTTGAGTGTGGACGATGATTTTCATCGAGAATATTTGAATAGGGAATGGATGGCAGCTGGTGTAATTATTACCTTTTAGATTGGGAGTGGTTGAATGATTTGGGATAGTTTAGGTTAGACGGTTTGGTTACGATAAGATAGATTGAGTTGGGTGATGAATGGGTTTAAGTTAGAATAATTTGCTAACTTCAGATAAGATCGACTTCTGACAAAAAAGTGATAGAGACTGCTGTTAGTTCAATTGAATTATCTAAAGACAAAATTGGCGGGCAGATAATTGGTATGATGTGATGATCGTTTTGGAAGAAATGATATATAATGATAATGGAAGATATTTAACGATTTGAAAGTACTGATAAATTTTGGTATTGTTTGTTTGTGATGACGATGGACATGTACGATCCGAAAAATTTCAACTAATATTTGAATGCTGTATCTTTATCCCTTTCTATTTGATGCATTTATCATAGAAATTTAGACTCTGGTTCTTCTTGTTAACTTTCTGCTTGCTTTGCTTATCTCGAAAATTTTGTAATCGTAATAATAATAATATTATTATTATTATTGTCCTATCAGTACCTCATTTCTAAAAAAAAAGTTTCTTAAAAAAAAAAAGATCATTCTAAAAAGTTTCTTAAATTCATATTACAATGCAATTGCTTATGCAATATTCTCGTTAATTAGCAGAAAATGTCCATTACTTATGCATTAAAATATAACAAATAAACCCACGATTAGTGTAAATAGATTAAAGGGTAATGAATGAAATATGTATTAGTATATACATTGTGTTACTTATTATATGTTGCTGCAAACGATGGCATGAATCAATCCATTGTGATAAATAGCCAGAGAAATGGAAAGAAAAAATTCAGTTATCAAATTTTCATTTTAAAATCTTCTTTTTTTGTTTCTTTGCTCTTGAAAAGAACTCAGATTTTCTCTCCCTCTTCTTTTTTCAATGGGAAAAATAGTCTACGTGAGATGCTTACTTTTTCATTGGAAAATTATTGGTTTGAGAAATTTGATGCATTATTTAAATCATACTATATGTGATGTCTATTGTGATGTTATTAATAACTTGATAATTATAAATATGCTGAATCATATTCCTATTAGGAATACTAGGGTACCAAGTATATTTTCCTATGATTATGAATATCATACTACTAAGTATATTAGGCTACTAAGTATATTTGTTTGAAAAAGCTGTGACATTATACATATACATGTTCGCACTATCTTACATTATATGCGTGTAAGTTGAAAATGCAAACATTGCAAACAATATAATAGCGTGATTATATCACGGATTTGATTAAAATTTTTTTTTTGCAGGAGAAAACAAAATGAGTGTTGCAATGGATTATAAAATTCCAGGTTGCTCCTATTCGGATGTGATAGCTCAGGAGTCGATGGATTATTCATGTTTTATGGAAGAGAGTGAAACACAACAACTTCTTCAACTTAAGCAATTGATTATTTGTGGTAAACTTCGTGGTGAACTCCCAGCTGGTTTCTTATCATGCTTTCGTTTTCTTCCTAACGAACTAATTATTAAAATTTGGTGATTTTTTTTAAAGATTTGTATACATGTATTTTAGTACTATGTTTTTTCGAATGTATATGCGTATATTAATAAATTAATGAGTAAATGAAGAGCCAAAAATAATAATGTAAAATGAGCAATGATAAGATAATGATAGATGATAATGCATTAACAGTGTTAGTTATGGATAAGTCGCGTTTATTAATTTATCACTTTAAGGAGTTGCGCCATAAATTTTATTAATTTTATTAATCTTCGAGAATAACTATAGCTTTGCATATCGATTATTATGGAGATTGTTTGATATATAAATTGGAAATTGTATCAGTTTCAAAGTTTATTTTAAATTTATTTGAACCGTAAACTTGTAATAGTCCTTTATCCATACTAATTATTCCTGTTTGTAGGTTTCTATTTTTTTTAGTGGTTCATAAATTTTTGATGTTTTTTGGTCAAAATTTATTCGTAGCTTTTTATATACTAGCGATGTTTTCTCATTGATTTATTCGATAATGTAGGTAGTATTTATTATTTTTTGATGAATCACTTTTTTTAATATTTACTGCATAGCATTGGTAATTGATAAAAGGATAGATATTGAAATTGCAGGAGTTATCTGTCATCAAGGGAATTGCGAAGCTTTCGTCTTGTTTCAAAGCATTGGAAATTATTATGGGAAGAACATATTAAGAATAAGCGTAAAGCAATCACCAAACTAAGTATAGCATTAGATGAAGATAGTGGGAAGGTAATAATATGCATGAAGTTGCTCTCAAAATTACTAGTAATATTTATTAATTTCAAAAAATTTTAATATGTTAGATTAAAGCGTGAATCATCAGATTGGAATTGATATTTTCGTAGTTTATAATCTTTCTTTTGTTTTCAGTTAGTATTAAAAGCTGTTGCAAATTCATATTTCGGACGTCAGGTTAATGTTCCAAATGTTGAAGAAAATATCCGACAGGCTTTTTCATTAATAACATTTCCAGTCGGTATATAATATTAATATTTATCTGTTATATAACTATTAGCATAAAAAATAGTTATATGACGTAAAATATGAAGTGAGAGCCATCTACAATTTTATATTACAGATTTAGTTGATAAATTTATCACAGATATTAAGATTTTCTCTCTTATTAATACTAATTTTATTTTTTAAAGCCTAGTCAGGTTGAAACGTTATTCACAATTTTTCTGAATGATTTTATAATATTCTTATTTCAGTGCCTGATCTCTTCTGTATTAACTGTTTATTATTGTATGGTAGAGCAGCAAGTGAGATAGTTCTCCGATTAATTGCTAAACAAGATTGGATTATTCATACAGTGGTATTTGAAGGTGATTTGCACAACTTAACAGAGGAGAATTTGTGTACTTTTCTACAAGCTATATGCATGCGGATAAGAGGGAATTTTCGACTCTGCCTTCATTTTCAAGTATTCTTATAATTTTGCATTAATTTATATTTAAGCATCAGTTATCATCAATCGGTCATTTATTTTTGTTCTTTCATATTGAGAAAATTCAAATAAATTACGCTACAAATAAAAATGGCTTCTGATGTTGACTTGTCTTGAATTCTGTTTTATTGCAAAAAAATGACAGAAAGGACGTTTGTATGGGTAGAGAATGGCAAAAAGATTTCTAGATACAATGAGGGAATAATTTCACATTTTTATAACTATCCTCAACATTGTTCGAACTAATATATGCATTGATTACATTAATATGGTAGCATTCATGCAATGTCTTACTACCCTATAATGAAAATTTTCACTGAGTTGTTTGTTTTTTCAAGAATGCTTTCCTTTCATCGGGTGTTATCTCAGACAATATCGTTGAAGCTTGTGGCCCAAAGCTGGTGGAATTCGTTATCGATCTTAATCATGCTTGTGTGAAAAAGTAAATGCTTTTTTATTATTTTATTTTATTTTTTCACATAATTTTTAGGAATATTTTTAAGTGATAAGAAAAAGAATTGTTGTAAACTTTTTTCCTACTTTTTAGCCAACCGATAGTGCTCACGGATCAATGTTTACCATATTTGATTCGTGATGAAGTGATGGCGATTATACCACATTCAAATATTACAGCTAACGGGATTGGTGTGGCACTCAAGGTTGAATATTTGGCAAAATTTTAATTTTCATTCGCATTTCGAATTCATTTGATTGATTAATTCTCGAAGTGAATTAAATTATTTCCAAAGTATAAATTTTATGAATGTATGGTATAATTTTATGATTTTTGTCTGAAATAGTGTTATTGAAAATATCGAAAATGTGAACGTTTGTTGAAAATTTGTAAAGGAAATAAAGTAGGGAGAAATTGGAGGCTTATATTAAGCTAAATGAACTCAAAAAATTCATTTAGACTTCCTTCTAATAAATGTATCCTATTAGAATGCATATATGTGAATATAGAATGCACGCATACATTTTAATTTTTAACTGTGATTGTTGTGATATTTATTTTTATTTTTTATTTCATTTTTGTAAAATATTTTTTGTTTTTTTCAGTTAAAATTTGTTTTAATGAACTGGATTACCAACCAGGCAATCAAAGTTTATTAATTTGCGAGTAAAGTTTTGCTTAAATCGGAAAAAATATTGACTGACTTTAGATTTTTCCTTGACATGTGTTTGAAGATTTTATACAACTTTTTTGAAATAGTTTTTTTTAATTTAATTGAAATGATTTAATAAACAAAAACTGGAAACTAACTTCAGGCATTCTTTTTTCGAATTAATCGTGTAACGAATGCTGTTAATTTCTTCACTGGTCGAGCACTTACTGCACGGCTTTGTCTTGGTTTGTCGGAAGCTGTTACAGCTAAAAAAATTGGCGCAATAAAAATGATTGTAAATCAGGTTTTAGTTAACCGATGCTATCATTCATCAAGTGGTCGTGTCGGATGTAACTTGGTATGCTTCATGTTAATATTTATAATGTTTAGACATTTTAATTGGATATGGTTAACAAGATAGTGCATTCTTAATTACTGGCAAGACTTGTTCTAGAATTATTTTGTGGTTATTGGTTCCACAATTAACTTATAAAAAGGAAATGGTTAGAGGAATTATTTAGTTTGATCAAAGGATAGATAGAATTATGATGACTGAGAGCATTAGATATATCAAATTGTAGCATATATAGACAAGTGGTATTGAAATTATGTTTTTTGAATAGAACACCAGAGGGTCCTCTCTGCATCTTTCAAATATTCTGTAGAAAAGGAGGTTGTAATCGACACATACTTTGATATTATTCTACGATTATAAGTTAAATTTCTCAATCAAACTGATATAGAAAATACCGGTATTATGAGAAATTTTTTTTAATGCTTCTGTTGATTTATATTTTAGAAGATGAAACATATGAAAGATATTGGGGTGATAGAATTCACATACAAAAACGGAGGTAGTAAGCGTAAGGAATTCGGCGATATGCGACGATTTTGTGTCGAAGTTGCCAATGAAGTGGTTCGATTTATTTGCAGTTTATAATACTTTATTTCACGTTATTTTGCTCATCTTTTCGGAATGTTAAAAATTTAATCATTTTTCATTGTTTGAAATTTAATCATTTTTCATATAAGATTTATGAAATATTTTTTCAGAAGATTCAGGAATATATTGATTCATCAGCAATCCGTGATGTTATTGTACATTCAACCCCGCTAAATTCTGATAAAGTATCAAGCAACATTGAATATCCGTCTGATGCTTATAATACTTCGGAAAATCAGAGTGATGGATACGAATACGGCACTTATGATAGTGATGCTTTTCCTTGGGAATTTTTTTGAATTTTTTACATATTTTCTTACTTTATTGGTGTTTTTACTGGGTATTGTATATATCGTTTGATTTTTTATCTTACTTAAGTTATTTCTGAAATAAGTAGAACAGTCAATAGAATCGTATTATAATTCCTTTCCAGCTTGCTAACCTTGGGTACATAAAACATCAATGCTGCTTGTGGTTGTAGTTAAAATTCTAGAATTAGAATTATAATTTTGAAAGAATAAACGACAGCGTCCTATAATATTAATAATACAATTATTGCATTAACAAATCCTTATTATTTAAGTTCAGATGATTGTTAGGAAATATTCATGAACTGATGGATTACTTCTTGTTAAACATCTATAAAGTTTGGAATTACTTTTAATACTATATTTAGTTTTAATAATATAAGGAGTCTAAACTTTTTCTTTTTGCAAATTCTTTTAATTGTGTCATAGAACCCTTACTTGTTTGAATTTGTTTGATTCCTTTTTTCTCATTTGGTCATCTTTTTTTGTCCTGAGTTTTTAGAATTAAAGTTTTATTTGCCTTCAAAATGATTCGAGTTTCTTGGAGTAAAAAAAGGGAAAATATACAAAATCACTCCTCGCTTACATCTAGCAATATTTATAGTCCATTTTCCTGCTATATGTTCTTTCAATTCCTGCACGGTACATATTGATTGTCGAAATTGCTTCATAAAAAGAGTTAAGCGAGATTATTTTGCATATTTCAAAATGCATAAATTTTATTTTGAAGAGTGTTCGGTATGGAAATGTTGCTCCCACTATGCGAGGAATTTCTTTTAATTCAAGATCAGAAGGAAATACCGACCTTTAATCAAAGCATTTTAAAACAAGTATTTCCGTTCAAAGGGTATTGTTATCATGGAAATTTCATGATGGAAATTAAATTCTGTCCAGCGATAAAGAAACCTTATTTTACAAATGAACGATTTTGTGAGAGTGCTCAAAAATAGATCAGAATGCCCAGTCGCAATCAATAAATCAATGTAGGACGGAAGTTAACAGTTTTCTGCGGCTGATTGACAGTTTTCCTTTTTGATATTTGATTTTGCATATCTTTCGAAGATGATTTTATTTTCTGAGTTGATCAAATCATACTTAGAATTTGAAATGCTGACTGATAATATTAATCTTTTTTCTAATGATCATGAAGCAACGCTATCAGTAGCAAGACAACGATGAAAATTGTGGCAGTGCTGATGTGGAAGAACTTTGTATATATAATAACAGGATTCCAAGTTATAATTCCGCAAGCTTCGTGCCCAGTGGCCTCGAGATTTATTTTTTCCGAAAAACGTCTGTTTGGCTTTGATATACTTCTTGTATCTCTTCTCCAGTTTGCCACATTCTTAATGAACTCGAAATTAAGCTTAATCAGACAATGACACTTCCATTGGGGAGAAAGCTAGTAACTTTTTGTTGCGAACAAACTTTGCTGCTTGTACCACTGATCATAATCCTTTCCGATTATTTTCTATCCTGAGAATTCTAGGCCATTCCGGCAGACTGAAACAAGTCACTTTAGATCAAATTTTATCCAAGTCACAGATTCAAATAAACCCGTACTTTGATAAAATAAGAAATTATTGAAGAATGCATCGAAGCAATCACTTGCACCTTTACATGAGAAAAAAATTGAATAGGAACGGAAAAAATAACAAAAGAATATGAACATACATTCAATCTGAAAATTTTAATTTTCAAACAACTTCATGTATAAGAAAAAAAAGTATATATAAGAGCCAAAACCCTTTATGAGGTCTTCAAGACGGCAGAAATAAACCAAAATGCTTCATTTTGATTTGGTAAGTCTGAATTGATGATTTCTGTGGAATCTTTCGTGTCCTACTCTTATTTCAGATAAAGTTAAAGAAATAGATATGAATCAATCAGAGATAATTCAAACTATTGAAAAACAGACTATGTATTCAAGAAATTTCGAACGATTGTATTACTTGACATCCATTTATCTCTAAACTAAAATATCTGAAGGCTCCGATAATTTTACATATAAAACAATAAAAGAAATAATGCGAGCTTGTAATTATACGGTAGCTTTGTCATTCTAATTACTTCTTTATTAATGATATACCAGTCTTTTTTTATTAGCGATGGACTTAGCGGCAGTCGAACCTTCTTTTAATGTTGAGAGCGAACCAGAGTATCACTGGATACAATAGTTTTAGATTTGCACTGTGCTAGGGTAAATTCCTTGTTGGGTGCTATTAATTTCATAGGAAAAAA